AACAACATTTATTTCTGCTAATCCTTTCGATAGATATTATTGACAAATAAATAATCCATTTGGGTATCAGATATTCACTACAAGTTATAATTTCCCTGAAAGAAAGTGAAAATGTTTACACATAGCAAATGTCTTTTCGTTAATTTCCGACACATTGAACATACTGTTGATAATCTGTGAAGTTCAATTATAAGTGAAGGGCTGACCAGGGGTAAGAAAATTTTTAAATTCTAAACGTATACTGGTAAACAAAAATTAGAGATGGAATGAATTATAAATTTTTTTGATTACTTATTATTAGAATCGCTCTTAATTCCTTATTATTATCTTTATTCCTTAATATTATTTCTTGATTCCTTATTATTAGCGATTATTAGAATCGCTTGATAATTCACTCCAGTATTTCAGTCTATAGTTTTTCCAATCTTTTATAGAAGAATAAGAAGAATAAAAATAACAAGAAAAGCAAAACTTTCATATTATATTAATTTTTTTTTAATTAAAGCCAGATTCTAAATGTACATTCAATGAAGAACGATATTAAGACTACATTTATTAAAAATACACCTAAATTTATTTGAAAGATAGAAAGGAAATTTAATAAAGAGAATTCGTAATTAAAATCTTGTACTGTGATATTTATTTTGTCAATACAATTTAACAAAAAGCATTTTTCTTAATCAAAGTGTAGAGAGGAGAAGTAAGAGTTAATGTTCTTTAGCTCTAATATGTGAAATAATCTTCGCCTTTCTACACTTTGTTAGAAGCTCAGAAAGGAAAATATTATTTCAGTAGCAAAAGCAGGTAAACATTAAACATGAAATATTTTAATTCTTTCTATCAAATTAAGAGCATTCTACAACTTACGCTATCACATAACGCCGCTATCAGGTGATATTGATGATCCAGATGCACGAAAACTAGGACAATCGCGCTCTTGATTTGATGTGCGTTTCTATGGGATATCAATAAAACTACTTTTTCCAATGTTTTAAATGAAAATTTATAGCAAATTTTTAGGTTCGGATTTGCAAGTCTTTAAAGTTGGATAGCTCGAAGATTCGAATTTTCGAATCTTGAATCTTTTCTAAGATCAATGAGATTCAAGAACTGAAAGATAAATTGTATTGTTACTTTTATAATTTATAGCTATACCGAATTTTAAATTCTATTCGTATAAAGATATAAATCCAAAGTATATACGCAACTAATTTTCATTTCTAATTTACGCTTTCTTGCCCGGGAAGTATATGATTGTTTTGCTTTTACACTGAACTGAACTCAAATTCTGAGGTCCTTACACTGCTGACAAGACCTATTGAGTGTTAGACATAAGAAGTAAAGGTTTGGATTATTTTATGTATCATGTAATAGAATTGGCACATTCGAGAAATCTATACACATCATTTTGATTTGATAACCAAGTTTAATATGAGTTGTTTGTAAACCTTACTGTTCCAGTTATAAATTGCGTTAACATTTTGTTACACATTTAATCCCATATACACGCTAGGGCTAGAGCTTTGATAAGAAGACATGAGTGTTGTTGAATTCATGTTGCTCTATGGTAGTTATATGTGCACTCTGCGTGTAAAGTTCAAGTAATCATCAGCTGCTCTAAGCATAATTTTAATGCACACGATTTCAAAACTGATATGTATGGCAATTAATAAATCGTAACATATCTGAATCTTATATTACTAAATCATAGCATATAATCTTGGTGAGTATTCCTCTAAATGCTACGAAAACTACAGCGGATATAGTCGAGAGTCCATACGAATTACGTTACCAGTAATGTTTATCAAAACGCTTCTAAATATGAAAACTAAATATAGAAATCCGAACTAGTATTATTAAGTTTGAAAACACAAAAGGGCTTATTCGAAAGTCCTTTTTGTAAACCCGCACCTCAATGGAATGTGTGTGTATTATGGCAAAGCCTCGAGGGCTATCTGCCTAAGAGAGGGCGCTTGTGGGACTTCTAGGAAACTAGATGTATCACGTCAATGGGGAAAACCACGAAAAAACCCTGAGCCAGCCGTTCGCGGGTTCGAACTCTGCCCGAATACAGTGTTCAGCGACTTTACCGCTCGGCCGCTGGTGGGCTCCCTCAATGGAATGTAAATCGGAAAAACCTTGCTCTTATGCATTGAATAATTAAAGCGAGTTTCTTTTTAGCATATATTATTTTGCAATGTTATATGCATGTAAAAGCATTATTCTTTCTTGGTATGCTTTATTGGTTCTTTATTGGTTATCGATTTACCCTGTTGATAGCGTGTTAAGATTGCGCCATCATGAAAAACCGTCGAAATTCTTCGTTATCGAGATAAATTACTTTGTTTAAAACATCAGAAGTACAGTTACGGTTTTTATCCTGATGTAGCTTCTAAATCAGTTAATTACAGTATAAAATGATCTAATAGTTTGGATTTCATGATGGATCGTATTAAATAAATATCTAGTAATGTTACTATATTCTTTGATCATTCTAAAGATTCAAAATTGTTTTTGAAATCTTGTAGCCAGAGTAACTAAAGTGCCTATTTCGAAAATGTTTCCTTATTGAGTATTTAGTTTCTAAGAAACAACTGAAATTTTAAAATTCCTCAAATCTGTAATATACAAAGCTGTAAGGAATGTTTCAGACTGTTGCAACTTTCAAGAAAATGTTTGCAACTGTCATATCGGGTTTCCTGACGCTGAAAATGAGCAGTAAAAATATTTCCTCGATAATCGAAGTTAATATTAGACTTTGTAAGTTAATGTACATGAAATGAATAAAAATAAAGGAGTTTAAATAGAATCAGTATTGAAAATAACAAAAATATATATCAAAACTTTAAGCCTACCGCATTTTTACCCAAAGGCTTGAGCTCGCCATCCATAGGTAGAACCCGAAATCGCACTGAAACAGAACAGGTGGAAATACTTTGAAAAGTAGATTAAATATGCATGGAAAAACATAAATATGAAGGACAGAGGTCATTCGATTACGGCGCTATTTTTATGAAATATAATTATAAGAAAATGTCTTCCGTGTGTTTATAGAACATGAAAAGAAACAAACATTATGTATGATAATGAAAACAATAAACATTTTCATAGATTACGCGTTGATATTACAGTTTGAATATTAAAATCTGATGCTTAAAGCTATAGAATAAACAATATGTTTTAGAATAAATAATATAGTTCATTAAAGAAATGAACAGTTTAAAAGAATTAATAATTGAAATAACTGAAATTAGCTGAAAAAGAATTTTTCATTTTATCCAGAAAGATAAATTTAATTCCTCTACATTAATGCGAGTCTTGACATTCTCTAGCAAGTTTTTGAATCTCTCTCTGCTACACTCAATTCTGAGTGAACATCATTGTCTTTCCCTTCAATAATTAACATCCCCTCCTTCTGCTCGCAGTTATATTATTAGATATATTATTTTCCATTTTGTCCATAGATTGCTGATGAAAAATGTTTAGAACAATAAGTCGATTTTTATGACTGTTTTTTTTTTTTCGAAATGAATGAAGATTTGCTACCCATCTTTAGCTCACACTATAAGTTAGACGATCAGATATTTGAACATTTTTTTCAATATATAGCTGAATTTATGGAGTGATTTTTTAAGTTCGATTTATAGATGAAGTTTCAGTTTTTCCTAAATGTTTCGAATAAAATTTTATCCCTCTCCTTAAACACAGATTGGTTAATGTTTGGATATATATGTACTTATTTTGCAGTTGTAAAGTTTATGTTAATTAACCAATTATTATGATATGAAACTTTACTATATCTTCTTTCGGTAGTCCTCGGCAGAATGCAAATTAGTTGTTAAATATTTAAGCCGAGGCTAAGAATGTTTTAGAATTAAAACATCTGGCAGCCTCGCTTGCAGCTCACAACTTTCTCTGCCAAACTTCATAACATATGTAACATACGTTTCTGCCAAAATAAATAAATATTACAACATAGAGTTCTGACAAATTTTAATTGGGCTTTAACCTGTTTGCTAGCAGATTTTATAAACGCGTCTTTAATAACTTGAGCCACATTAAATAGATCCCATTTGTAGACTCCGAATATGTTACTTAAATCTGAATTTTTGTTCACGTTCATAGGACTTTGTCATCTTAATTCAGGCTGGAGCGATCACTCTCTTATCAATCCAGTAGGGTACGAAAGACATTGGTTTGAGCTTACACACAAGTAAAATTGTGCAAGATCTCCCACATATTTATCTTTCTATCTCTTCTATTTTGACCTAAATAACCTTTATTTTTTTGTAATTTAGTGAGCGCTTGCATATATGTTTAGAATGCGAGGGTCAGAATAATTTGTTTTAACTAAATTTTTCTATGCCCTTTATATGCCCCTATAGTTTGTCTATTTATTAGAGTTTGGAAAGCTCTGGAGAATCTTAGAAGTATAGGAATATTAAGCGATACTGAAAATATAAATCTAAAACAAAATTTTCGACACTGATATATTTAGAAAAATGCAATGACATTGCAAGGTAATGTTTTCTACTTTCAGAAATATAAAATCTTCAAAGAAAGCTGGCCTAAAATTTATTCTTACCTATCTGTCCAGGCTTATACAACGGTTTATCTGTCTGAATCAATGTAAAGTCTGACTTGGGACGTATGCTCACAATTTTTTTCTCATTTATTTTGTAACCATCACTAAATGTTCCAAAAATATGTAATTTTCCACGTTTAGCACTTAGTATCGGTGGCACAAACATCTCCACCCTCATGTCGTGATCTGAAAAATAAACGTAAATAGCATTTCATCTTTAAATTTAATACAATTACATTTTTTAATATTTAACTCATCATGATACATTTAGTTTTAGGATTTTATCCGAAGCTAAGCAATTTATTTCCATTTCAAAATTAAAACATGCAAATTTTCCAGTTGAATTAGAAAATATGTTTTAAATATCCTATCTATCAAGATACTTGCACTGCTTATACTTTCTTTACAGCATACTAAAAGAAATCATTCAAAGAGCCATATAAAATGATTTTGTTTTTATTAAGCAAAAATTCTTAGTATTCACTTGTTAGACAAGTTTATCTATTGATGTTTCAATAACGACACTCATAACTACCAAAGATTTATGAAGAGTTTAACATAAAATATATATACTAGTGAAAAGTATTTCTTTGTAAAAAGTTGTTTTATAGTAATTAAATTTATAAAATTTTGACAGTAGTACTACATTTAAGAAACGTGTCAATTCTGTCTCCTATATAGAACATTATAATATGATCGTATGTAATTAGCTTCCTTTTTTTACTTCGCAGGATAGTGTGTGATATTTACATGGTTCATTCAAATAAATTTATGACATATTTTTGCAAGATTGCATGCTTGAAAAATAATTAAAGCGTTTCGTAAAATTTTCAGTCGCGTTGCATATTTAAATTCCAAAAATTTAGATCAAGATATCCTAGAAGAAGCAGATATAATAAATTGAGAATTACACTACGACATATATCTGCAAACGTAGAGCTAATATTTACAGTAAATTAAACTAATAAAATTATAAAGGCATTTTATAATTTTATTAATTTTTCATAACATGAAATATCCAATCAAAGTACTGGATCAGATGGGATTAATAACTCTCTGTTTCATGCAATGCATACCACTCATTCCATTCCGATCGAAATATATACTAGTACCATCGACCTTATAAGAGATAGACTAACCAGCGCGCGTCACCGACATGTCGACAAAAAAGAGTAGAGACGATCTGGTTTACTTTTAAGTCCCGTTTCCACTGCTGCGTATGCGATCAAGGATCAAGGAAGTGCAATTTACGGAGTTCATAGGCAATTACGCCTTTACGTCCACATCTTCAAAGGAAATTACATCAGCAAAAAGAGGGGATGTCAAATAGGTAAAAATTTGAAACCCGAATGACTTGGAATAAGTGCCTTCACACTAGTCAAAAAAAGGCAAAAAACTCAGAAGGTCTTAATTTTGCGCCGAAAAGAGCCAGAATAATTTAGATAGGGGCAGCATAAAATTAGACTAGAAAATAAAGGTGAAGTTTCCTTGAACCTTGATAATCGTGTTTTGCATACGTCAGATGCGCAGATACACAGGGAAATTCCGATGCGCGTTCTTCAGGGGTGGGAGGGAGGGGGGAACCTGTTTACAGGTCGAAAAGTAGTTCTGCCAGTGATCAGCTGGAGGGAAAGTTTCGTTTTTGACCGCTATTCATCGGTATTAGGCCTAAAATGACGTTGTTAAACGCCTTATATAACATGAAACCTATTGCGTTGTATCACATAATCTTTTAATTATTAAATGTGATACGTTGTATAGTGATGAGATTATGAAAGCCACAGTTTTTCCAAATAGGATTTTTATTATCTCATTAAGCACTTTTTACGGCATTTCGCACATTTTTTTCAGCGTATTCTTGTACAAACATCTTTACTTTGGTTTTTATTTTAAAACGTAAAAACTCTAAGCACAAAATTTATGAACTTAATTTGCGTAAAATAAAGTAAAATTAAATAAGATTGATAGTACGCGATGCTTTGAAATAAATAATGTGGTTTACGGGCGAAGAACATTGAATATCATGTTCTTCGCCCGTAAACCACACATATTTGAAAACAGCATATCTTTGGAATTTCCGCACTGGAGGTAAAACTGTTATTTTCCGTACAGTGCTCGCTCTGAACTCATTGAGTTTGTTAATCAAAAATTCGTTAAATTTTCACAAAATATGAAATAGATTAAAAACAAATTCGAAATTCTGCCGTCCAGATGCCTATGTTCGGGTGGAGGATTACATTATTCAAAATTTGATGGCTCTAGATACTGCCGTTTTTGTCACAGTGCGAGAAACATACATGTATTCATGCAGATTCTTCAATATTTAATTTCTTTACATATAATACAGGGTGATAATATTTGGTAACAACAATTTGCAAGTAGACATAGACATTTATAGCAAAACAGCGGAAAATGCCACTTCGAAACTATCAGCTTTTCTAGGTTACCGCACCTTTGGGCTAATAAAATAAATTAACAGTAAATAAAAAAAAATCTTATGCAGAACTAAAAATAAATTAACGGTCTCAGAAACTTCACTGTAGAATCAAACAGGTATTGTCCTAGCACACTAACCATCTAGACCTTGGAACTCATTCCACACGATCCTACGAGTGTGTGTTTTCACTGGTGATGATATTCGTTGGTTTATCGGTTGGTGGTACTATCAATTATTTAGGATGACTTCATAGGACAGGTATAATAAGCCGAATAAGACATATTCTCGGATACTTGGCCATCTCTTGAGAACTTGGACAGCCAATTTTTGCAATTTCTTGCATAAATTGGGGTATAATACAGCATAAAAAGTGTAAAATAATGCAATAACAAATAGTACAATCTTTAAACACGACTACAATATATAACGTATAAATAGCTGTATAACAATTTAGTTTACAGCTAATTAAAACTTTTTTAATAATTAAATTACATTATTCATATAAATATTTACACATTATTTCATTCCTGGATTTATAATTTTGTTGTATATTGGTTTTTATTTAGATTCCAATGGAATTAATGGATATATGTTTGGATTATAAAATAAAGTTTCGTAATCTGTACTGAGATAAAGTTCATAGTCGCATAATTCATAAAGGTTCAACTGAGTATTTTGATATGTTGAGGTTATAGATCTTGGAATTTGATATTGGTAATTTGCTGTCGCTGATTTGGTATTAGGCAGTGCTTTGTTTATTTACTCATTTCGTAGGATATGGCGTTATTTGGCATGGATCTTGAACCATCAACACAGGCAGTTCAGTTCAGTTTTTTTTCGTGTGTGTGTGTATTTTTATTATTTTAAGATGAAGACGCTGTTGTATGATGATAAAGATTTTGAAAGTAAGATCCAGATTTGTAGGTTTACGTAGCTGAAGATCGCTTATTAGAGGGCAGAAGTATATGTAGTGACCTGCATCGTGTATAAATATTTTGGATATGGACCATGTCCTTCGATGAATTGAATTAGGAAGGATTTGGTGTTTCTTGCATCGGCGCTAACATTTGAAAAACATTCATACGTCCGTCAACCTGTTTTGACGGTCTTCCATTCTTTTAGCCATTTATTATTTATATTTTTATTTAGCAGGTGGCGGAGTTGTGTCTTTAGATAGTCTGATGCCAGTAAATTCTTCTCCTTGTATTACGGCAGCTTCGTTTGCCAACTTTGCAGCTGTGACCTTTAACCCACGGAATTGCTTTTCTAGTTTGGGTGAAGTTTTTGATATTCGACACGTCTTCACATGGACCTAGTGAAATTTCGTTGAATGACTGCTCGCATATTGGTCCAAATTTGCATCCTGACATTTGTGAACTTCTATTAGCTTTCAGGCTTCATCCTGTAGCATTCACAAGTGATATAAAGCAGGCTTTTTTTTCAGATAGAAGTAGATGAGAAAGACAAAGATGTAATGCGTTTTCTGTTTACTAAAATCTTATTCGATGATCCACAAGATTTCATAATTTATCGGTTCACTCGTGTCTTATTTGGCATAAATAGCAGTCCGTTATTACTGGCTGCAACCACTGAACAGCTTTTGAAACAATATGAGAAAAACCTACCCTGCCACTTGCGAATTCTAAATGATCACATTTATGTAGATGACATCATTGGAGGACACCAAAACGTTGAACTTGCTTTCAATACCAGTTTAGAATGCGCCAGCATTTTTAGAGATGCTAGTATGATTCTACATACATAAATGCCATACTAATTCTCAAGAACTGCACGAATTATGGATTAAAGAAGGTATTAAATCCGAGGAATCTAGTCATGTTTCGGAAGCTAGAAATCCTCCATTGAAAGTGTTAGGAGTCGCTTGGGACAACCCTAAATGACATAATTTACTTTGATGTAAAAAGTTTGATAACATTTCTATCAAAACAAGTTAATACTAAACGTTTTGTCTTACGCACTTTAGGAACACTTCGGTTCCTATTTAAAAGATTTCGATTTTCGATTGTGAAGGCTTATAGATTTTGTTTAATCACCGAATCACCGAATTCTGTAATTAATGATATGTAAATATTGTACGTATTAAAGCTTGGTGTCGATTTATAATGATCTTAGAATATTTTGAAACGATTATTATTTCAGTAAAAGCATGAATGTAAAAATATAGGGTTTTGCTATTATATTTAAGTATATTTCTTATATAAAACATTTTAATAACATATATTAAATAAGTTGTATTTTATTTCATTTGTACATATTGGAGATATAAATGTTGATGGTTTTAATATTTTTCGCTATGAAATACAAATAAACTAAGTTCTTGGTCGTATGGTGAATATTGATTATAATCGTTCTTTCCTTAGAACAGGGTTCTAACTTTTCATCAACAGCAGCACTTTTCAAAATATTTAATTTATTATAAAATAATTAAACATTAGAATTTGATTTTATATGTAACTCTCTAAACTCGCTGAACCGTTGTTTCAATTGGTATATTCATGCAAAAGGCTAATTAAAATATCTTTAGAAAGACTGCAAAGTGGTAATAATTTTTAAAGCTTCTTTTTTATCATCTTAATTAAATAAGCAATATAGTAAAGTCATATTTCCCACGAAAATTTAAAAATATAAAAAAATATGACAACATTGGACGGAAAGCCTTTCATCATCACGGTCTTCTCCCTTCATGAAGGCCACAGTCATTGTTATCCTAGCTTTCATTTAATATCCTCGGCAAGCGGTCCCTGCTAAAGTCTCAATAGAGGAGACAGTTGTTCATCCGACTAGGCATCAGAATAGTCCTAGGAACCCATTATAAGAACTCTGAGACATAACCAGTAGCTGATATTAATTCGGTATTATCATAGTAAAATTTACCTTGTGGCTAAATTTTTAATACCAGACATGTGAAAGGTTATTTATTCTTGTACGTACTAATTGTAAGTAAATGGAAATTCCTGAAATTTATATTTATTTCAACTAAATTTATGTAATTACTTGTTAGGTGTATTTAAGGATAATTATTATTTATTTTAGGGACTTCCAACTTTTTCTTCCATTGTCCGTATTTAAAGGAATGGTTTTTCTCATAGACCGCTTACATTTTTCTCTATAATGTACAGTACAGAGCAAAATCATAATACAAATAGTTTCATATGACCAATCAACTTAACAATTAGATTCAGAATATTAAAAATTGGCTTATTAGATTTATGCTTAATTTTTTGTCCAAAGGGGCAATTTGCCCAGAAGGACTATAAATTTCGTTTTGGCATTTTGCGTTGATTCACTACAAGCGTTGTTTCACGTTTCAAATTGTTGCCACCAAATATTATCACCCTGTGTTATATTTAAAGGAATTAAATAATGAAGAAACTGTATAAATGTTTCAAGCACTGTGATAAACCAACGGTATCTAGAGCCATCAAATTTTGAATAACGTAATCCTCCCCCGAATATGAACATCTGGAAGCCCTAATTTGGAATTTGTTTTATTATCGATTTCATATTTTGTCAGACAGTAAAGAAATTTTGATTAACAAACTCAACGATTTCAAAGCGAGAAATGATAACACTGTACGAAAAAGAAAAAAAAAAATATTTTCAGCGCGCGAGACTGTGTATCGGAAATTCTAAATGTATGCTTATTTAAAAAATATTTTGCGATATTGCTGTTGAACCGAAATTTATAGTTTAAGGGCGAAGAATATGATATTTAATAAATAAAGGTAACACACAAAACGTTAAAAAAACGACCCTTTGGGGGTAATGTAAAATCCGAAAGCTTTCAGATTTTTTATTTTTATTATGTCATTTTTTTTCGTATTACTATTATTTTTAATTCTGCAGATATAGGCAGTTTTTAAAAACTAAGTAACAAGTTCTGGTAGCGCAAAAGTTCGATTTTAATTAATGTGATGGTTGCGCTTGATGTAATATTTGGCATAATGATGAAATATTTGGCAGAAAATTGATTAATTCAGTTTTTACCTCATTCAAAAATATTCAGCCTGTTTCTTGCTTGTTCAATATAAACAGTTCTTAAATAAACTTTAACATAATGTTCGCAGACTGTCAACTATTAATAACTTTCTCCTAATTAAAATGTTGTCAAAGTAAGTATTGCCGCTATATGCCGAGAATATTTATGCTATCGGGAGAACAGTATAGGTAGGGTGAAATAAGTATTTATATGTTTCTAAGTTATATTTATATTAAATTCGCTAAATTCCATCGATATTTTGAAGGCTTTGTTTCTCATCGCTTAATGTTATCAAAATAGTCATAAACAAACGTGATCACATTAAGTGGAACATATTATATTTAACTATAAATTCTCAGGATTATCCCATAAAGTTTTTAAAAAAAAAAGACTTCAAATATATTGCTACATTATTGTACATTAAATAAAGAAATTATGTCCACATTCATGGGATACATGTCTTTTACCGACTTTACATACAGTGTTCTCCAAGATATGGAAAGTAATTAATAATGTTAATTAATAATAAATCAAATGTACAAAATACTGTATTAACAAGTTGCTTTCATACTTACTAGGTATGACAGGCACCTTGCTTTCAGCCAATATACCCCTGTCATCATTTTCCAGTAAATGTATTGTGATTTCTTCATCAGACGGTACTTCGAATACGGACAGTGTGAAATATTCCGTGCTGCCTGAGTCGAGAACCTTCGGAGAAGTGAAGATGAAGCCCCTGGGAATAGAGAGTAATAAAGTATTAATTTTGTATGAAAATGAACACAACTGTTTCATATTCGTTTAAATTGTTTTATTGATTGACATACTGAGAAAGCGGGAAAAAATGAAGCAGGTATCGTCAGACATGCGACATTATGTAAGGAACTGTTTGAAGAATGTAGTTTGCCAAAATTAAAATTTAGTAATCGATCTGAATTTGATACTGGTTTTATAAAGAAAAACCAGAGGAAGGGATTCCTGCAAGAGAATTTCTTCCCCTGCAGGAATATAATTTTTCGATAAAACCTGTAAGATATTTTTGCCTCCTTGCTTCGTGCCTTCGTGGCGTAATTGGAAACACGTCCATATAGTAATCGGGAGGTCCGGAGTTTGAATCCTGACAAGAGCATTGAATGTTTTCTATGTTCCTTACTTACTTAATGGTTTCACAGTGGCACCCGAACTGAAATGCGATGGACGATAGCTCAACATTAGTTCAGATGATAAGCATCAGTACAAAGGTTTGGGGGTCAGATCCCAGCCTCTCCAATAGCTCTTTAAGTGGGGAAGAATATAAGGTATTTTGCTCCTTCTTTTCTTGTGCCTTCGTAATGCAATTGGAAGCACGTCCGTCTAGCAATTGGGAGGTCAAGAGTTTGAATCCTGGGAATGGCATTGTACGTTTTTCACGTTTCCTGGGGTACGTTTTCCATGTTTTCGGCAAAACTAATGACTCCACCACCCAATACCTGGCTGATAGCAGATGTGCCTAATTTTTATTTATGGCAGCATTATTTTTTTATAAATTCGGATTTTCGTTAAGTGCCATGCATATAGGATGGCAAGCACTAATAAAAAGAGTAAGAGATAAATTTAAAACAAACAAATAAGCGACAAGACAAACAAATAAGAGATAAATTACAAAAAATTGATAAGAGATAAATTACAAAAAATTAATAAGAGATAACCTATTGTCATTTAAACTAAATCATAAAAGAGCATTAGCTTTCACAGCAGATAAAGCCTATATTGATTATATTAAAGTGCCAAATAGCATTTTTTAAATGTCAAATCACAGAATCTGTCATGCTTATCCCTAGCAAGCGAGCATGAAACATTAACCATGCCCTTCCCGGGATTTGAACCATGGATCTCCCGTTTGTAAGTGTAGTATCTGAGGACTGTTTGAGTTCAACATAGCGTGCTTGGCGCGTGTAGCTCTTCTCCAGGAAGGGTTAATGTATTTTATGAGAGTTGCATGGTAGCCTCAGAAGAGAAAGGTTGTAGATTTCGCTATGCTGTAGGAGCGACGTACTGCTCTGAGTTTACTATTATGCTTTGAACCATATTTTTAATAAATGTTTGTTTCGTCTTGTTAAATGGTGCCTTACTGAACCACGATGCCATTACAGTAAGGTTTTACATGTGTGGAGGCTTAAATGAATGTCTTTCAGATATTACTACATTGACAAGAGAGTTAGAACTGGAGTCTCATTTAAGATAACGAAGTCCTGGGAAAGTTAAAATAAGCTTTTTATTAAATTTAATAGAAAGCACCAATTGTGTTTACAAAACAAAACTCTGCCACTTGCGGATATTTAAAGTACCATACGTTGAAATTTAAATTCAAGTAACGTAGTCTGAGAGTAAAAGCGTTTCCGAAAATTAAATTACTCGCATAATTTTCCTTTCTCGATTTTGAAACGATGAAATTAGTTCAAAAATGGGGAAAAATGCGAGAAGAAATGAAGTATTATTACGCAATATTATTACCACAGAATCCAACGAATAAATTCGATAGAAATATCATAAATTAAGATATGCACATTTGAATTTTTATGAATAAGCACTTTTTTTACTTCCAACCTAAGTGAATAGGAAATTAGCACTGTTGATAAACTATGTGTTAACCGTAATGTTGGCTGAATTCTGCTGAAATTTTCCAAACCCGTGTAAGCAGTCTTAAATATTTGCAAGCTAGCAAACTGTTAAATTCAGAGTCTAAAACCAAGACTACAGATCTATGATTTAGTATATAGATTTGCAAAATGCGCAAGTAATAGGCTGAATGAGAACATATAATTTCTTACAGATTTCAACGGCGTGCAGTGGGAAGAAAATGTTCTTTATCAAGTTGTCAGTTACTGGCATTAGTGTGATCAAAAACATGAGGAAAATACTTCTCTCTCCTAATTTCGTCACAAATTTCATCAGCTGATTAAATAATAGTTCTGCAGAAGATAAGAGCTTCAGATAGATGAAATTTCGATTGATAGCTAATACATCATCATCGCCAACTTGGAGATGTTTAAAAATATTGGTATGTCAACTGTCACTTAAAAAAATGAATATATTGAATAATTAACGTCATCTCATGCAAATGACATCGACACAAAATGAGAAATATTTACCAATTTCTGTAATTTCTGTGTCCAGAAACAGGATTCTTTAGCATATAAATCAATAATTCAAGATCTAGTTAAACAAAAATGCCTACAAAATGTATTATTAAAAAACAAGCATCGTTAGTTTTTTCAGTGTTGTTAAATAAAAAAAATCTCATGTGTACACAACATGACTTCCTTGTACGGAATATTAAATTTCCTTGCATTTCATTTAAACATATTGAATTAACAATTAACTAATTTTGAATTAAATCTACTTCGTCGATAGCGCATAAACCACAATAGAATAAAAGAACTCTTTAAAGTTCACTGTATTTATTTACCATAGCGACACTTCGGCGCTACGTTCACTTAACAGCATTAACATTCACTTTATAAATCAGAATGCACAAAAATTATATCATCTGAAGAGTTACAAGTTCTATTCAAATACTATAATAAATCTAAAAACGATGTATAAAAGAAATTAAAACAAATAAAAAAGAAACAGTTTTTCGCAAACGATTCAGCGGCGCTTACCTAATGCGCAGGCGCTACTAATTCTAAAAATGTAAACTACAATTGTTCTTATTACAGTCTTCACTTCGCGGCAAGGCAAAAATACACAAAAATTCAAAATATTTTCATTAAAAATTGAAAGATAGAGAAAAACATAAAACACCAAATACAGTTAAAACAATTAAAAAACAATTTTTTACAATTAAAATCACAGTTTCTATGCCAAAACAAGCTAATATCGTAAATGTTAATTCTAGAATGAATTAAGCATACTTTAATTCGCAATAATAAAAGAAGACGTTACTTTGTTGTTGCGAAGCTTAGTTTCTCTAGATTAGCAACAAATCTACTATTCTGCTAAATTTCAAATGTAAACAAATATGGCTGCAATGTAATCAGAAATTAAGCTTGGCCGCATTTAAAAAAACTTTTAAATTGTTGATAGTTCTAAAATGATTACATGCAGGTTAACTAAAGGCATAAAAATCTTAACCAGAACAACATAATTCAATCATTTTTAAAGCAAAAAATGCACAATTTGCAAACATATAAGAATAAAGAAACTGAGCTCACTGAGCCGAGTAAGAGAGTGGTATGTATATATTTGAATTTAACAAATATTCTCTAATCGTATAAAGCAAATATAAAATTTAAATTTAAAAATTAGTTAAGAAATTTTAATTGCAAAGAAATAAAAATAATTATTATTGCTACGAACTAATTTAGAATATTATTTAAATTCTAAGAGTATATGTAAATTAATTGCACTTATCTAAAACCATGAAAAAATATATTATTCCTAAAAATTGCATAAGTGAATAATTGTTGAGCAGGCAGGAGACAGACTTATGAAGGGGAAGTTGCCCTATACCTAACTCTTCAATTACTCAATTCGTGTTTCGTCATCCATATAGACAAAGGTAAAAGTAAAATTCAAAACCAAAAGTAAAATCAAATGTTGTGAATTACAAAAAAAGAAATTTAAACAGTGAAATTTTGAGAAAATAGCAAGTAAATGACTAGAGTTAATATAGCAAGTAAATGACTAGATATAGTAATAATAGCAAGTAAATGACTAGAGTTGTGAATTACAAAAAAAGAAAGAAATTTAAACAGTGAAATTTTGAGAAAATAGCAAGTAAATGACTAGAGTTAAAATTAATTAAATTAATTAAAAGTCAATTAGGAGTAAAAAACCAGATTTTTTAGAAAACCAAAGTAATTTAGAAACTCTTGCCAACAGGAAACTTCCCCAACACGAATTATGCACGTAAACCTAAAATAAACTATATACACAATTAAAATATAAAAATAAAAATAATAAAAAAGGCAAGTATATAGCAGGTTTTAATTTAACTTATTTAGTTCCATATTTGTATTTCTGAGCTATATGCATGTATATACTTTTCGTGCAGCCGATTACAACCAAAATGGTACATGCACAAGTACATTTATAGCAGTCTTATATACAAAATTTAAACTTTCTGAGGCTACTCGTTTTTGAGTTATGCGAGATTTTTCGTTGAAATATGATACCCGAAATTTTTCGCGATTACAATACTTCCTTTTTACTTCGTACAAGGAAGTAAGAAGATGTAATTACTACACTACCATAATATTACTTGCTTTTTTACTCTAAATTATGTAAACGTTATTTAATTACTTTGTTGCATATTTTGTTCTAATTAGGAAGTTTTATCTTTAAAATCTCAGGAACTTTTGACGATTTCTAGAAAAGAGTATCGAATTTCAGGGTATAATTAATTCAAGATTACCTTGGATCTTGAAGCCCACTAATGGATGAACGATAAAATCGCTGAAACTATTTATCTGAATCATGTTCAAATGAAAAAACGAACGTTACGAACTGGGATCTTAACCACAATCTGCTAACGACTTCCACACTCAGTCTTGGAACTCTGAAAACTAACATGAATATAGACTGCGCTGTCTAGAAGATTAGTGACTTTTCTCTTAAGTGCTGCCAGAACACGAGCTTGTAGAAATATGGACCGTAATCAGTTTGAACATCAACTTCCCCTTAGCATCAGAGAAATCATCACCTCCAGAAATCGGCTGCGGGCGGAAGGTTTTCAATCATACATGGGATCCGACTTCAAAACAGAGATCAATAGGTTAATCGACGTATAATAGGCTTAATCGACGTATTCCCGAACTCGGGAAGTCGCATGAAAACCCTGCGAACTACAGGCCTATTAGCCTGTTATCATCACTAAGCAAGATTCTGGACAGATTAATTTACAACAGAATAAAAGGTGATCTTCAATGCCTCGCTGACTATCAGCATTACTTTCGTAAAGGACTTTCTACGAGCTCTCAGCTTGTTTACCTCAGCGAATTCATCGGCTCTGCTATACATAATAAAATGAGTGTCGCTGTCCTGAGGCTAGACGTGGCCAACGAATTTGACCGCATCTGGCATCCGGGTCTTGTTTACAAGCTAATCAAATTAGACCTACCTAGACATCTGATACTGATAATCAAATATTTTTTGGATAATCGTACCTTCATGGTTAGACATGGGAAAGCACTTACACACCAGTAAAAAATATCTTAACAGTAATTCCCCAAGAGTCAATCTTGGAACCAATATTTTATATCCTCTATGTGAATGATTTTCCTAATTTTAATGAGGATATCAACTCGATGATTGCCTGATACGCTGATGATATCGCGGTAATTTCGAAGTCGAAGAATCCAAATCATTCAGTGTTCAAAATTCAGGAAAAAAATCCCTATCATCGAGCGCTGGTGCAACAAGTGGAAAATTAGCATCCAACCTAAGAAGTCAAAAATTCTCCTAATCAGAAAATTCCGCAAAAGTGACGCTATTAAGAAAGAAGGTTCCTAAAGTCAATGCTGCCAATTATTTGAGAGTTACTCCAAATAAGGACTTCACCTGGTCCAACCACATGACTAACGTATGAGGAAAGGCTTATAGCATGATGATCAGGCTTCTCCCGCTGCTCAAAAGTGATAGACTCACATTAAATCTGAAAAGAAGACTATACCTCTCGATCATAACACCTATTGCTACATATGCTTCCCCGCATGGGCCAACGCGAGTGATAAGGACAGTAGAAAAATTCAGGTTCTCCAAAACAAGGCCCTAAGGATCATCACAAAAGCTTCCTGTTTCACTCGCAATAGAAGCCTGCATTCAGATCTGAGGACAGAATCCATGAAAAAATTCATCACCAGGATAAATGAAAATTTATGAAACATATCAATAAGGAACAACCCCGCAAACTTCCCTGACATCCCGACATATGTGGAGGAGGATATACTTGTTAGACCTTACGCTGCTCATTTGCTTCATCAAACCCATGTGACCACGATAACCAATGACAACATAATATTTCTGTGCGCTGACAATTTTCTGTTGAAAATTGTGTTTCTTCACATTTACGACTCTGAAAGACTTTATCATATGGATTGTAATTTTCTGAGCATTTTGAGCAGACGAGGTATATAGTTTGCAAATAAACCCACATCTCAGGATTCGTCGAAGAAAGCTCCCAAGCCTCTGGCCTGTTTTCAAGAGACGAAATTGTCAAAACTTCTTCCGACAAATTCACCTCATCTAGAGGATATATTTAACTGCGGATTTCACAAAGATCAGACCCTAAACGGGAATCTAAGGTACACGTAAGAGCAGGGAAAAATATCTCCTGCTGTAAGCCAGCATACAAACGAAAGTATCAATGTATCAAATACTAATGAACGAGCTGCCTTCGTGATTTTTCCCAAATCTGAAGATAATATAAGATAGTTTTCCTTGCAAAGCCCCTCCACGAAGGCATCCTTATATATAGATAGATAGAACTCGAGTGCTTTGCTGTAATCATAAACAAACCTGGGTTTGGAAAAAACAAAAAGTTTCTGAAAGCACGAACACTAGTTAGTATAAAACAACTTATGTGACAACTTCTGTCTGTCTGACGCTAGTGTAAAAGAATTTATGCGACAGCTTCTATTGCCGTTCTATATTGTTCACGTGTCTTAACATTTCTCTGGAAATGTATAGCAAAACTGCTGTTATATTCAACGTTCCTTATGAAATATTTTGAGTTATTTCAAGGATTAAAGGCTGTGAGAATAATATAACTGTAACTGAAAAAAGGTGTTATGATAATTTTATAACTCCTTCTATAACCTTACTCGTTTGTCTTTGGTTTATTTGATTACGCAAAGCATTCGATCTACTTAAGAGGAGGGATTACGTCGTGAAGGACTTTCTACGTGAAACTGGTTCGTACAACACGTTACACATGAGAAAATCCACTGGAAACGCCTATGTATTCATCCCGTTCGTGGGATTCAAGCCTCGGACCGAAATATCAGTGTTCAACGACTTCATCGCTCGGCCGCTGGTGAACTATAACCTTACTCGAGTAACACAAAATTTATCATAAAAAAAAAGAAAAATAAATCATATTATAAAAAATATAAAGAAAAAGCTAGCTTGTTTATAGTAGTCTAAATAGTTTAGTATCGCCCATTATTGCAGACACTATTATCTAATCAATGGATATTTCTTCTCGCGCTAACACATTACTTTTTGTTATCCTGGAAGAATTAAGATCCATAAAGATCAATATAAAACTGATTCAGCTAAATTGCTGTGGAATACACATACTGCTCTGAAATTAGAACAAAATAACCTTCGCATTGGTTTGGATTATTTGAATTATTGCAAAGTATACATAGGTTACTTGCCTAGGGTGACGAATGCCGTTAAGAACCTTTTAAGGAAAACGTTCTTGTATTTGTGTTACACATGAAGTAAACACGAAACCTCGTGCAGCTTGCCACTTCGCTGCGATTACAAAATGTTCGATTATGTTACTACAAGTATAAATATCGAAAACAGTAAACGCTATACCTCAATATTCTAAATTTACAATCCGGGTAACCAGGCTTTAACGAATTATATTCCAACTTTATCAATATCATTATTTCTTTCATTTTAACAGACACTGTCACCGTCATATTTAATTTCATCTATGGATATAACATGAGTAAGTTATTGTAAATAGGAATGGTTTACGCCAAGTTACGAAACATTATATATATATCTATGTATATGTTAAGGTGAAACACCGAAATCTGGAGAATGTCGATTTTCATCGGTGAATGTCAACATTCACATAGTCTCTTCGTGTATGTCCGAAATATTTTCCAAATACTCTTATTTCTGACTTACACCTGTCAATGTCGACATTCACCATGTACTAATGGTGAATGTTGAACATATAACAATATTATATTTTCTTCTTCGTAATTCAGTCGCGAATAAACGCACTTGAGACTTCAAATAAGAACTTAAGAACATGAGAACCTAAAACACACAATACATTCAAAATAAGAAAGGAAAATAATAGTTCAATGTTTCGTTCTAAATGAGAAAATAAAATAACAGTAATAAAAAACTTACTAAATTATGTGATTCAAATCTTATTTATTGCAACAACTTAAACTATTATGGCACTTTATTATGACCTCTCTTTTCGACTTTCACCAGAGCATGTCTCTGATTGTCGACATACACCGGTGAGGGTGCGAATATACAAGAATGTAGTCAAATATTCGGTCTTTCACCGACGTATTTGGTGAATGTTGATATTCTCCGGTGAAAGTCGACATTCTTCAATTTAGGTCTTTCACGGTAACATATATATAACAATCAAGAGATAGTAATTAAATTTTGTAATTTTGTAACTGTATAACAGGAAGTACATACATTAAAATTAAAAAATAAATAAATAAAAATAATATAATTATATAACAAGTTTTGGAAAATTCCTTGCTTCTTTTCAAGAAGCAGCCAAAGAATTTTCAACACAGCCCCTATTTCTGAATTATATTCAAGAGTCTGTCTTCCTGTTAGACTGTTAACCCCTGTTTTTAACTAGAATTTTACTTAATTTTTATCTCTTGATTATTAAATTCATTTCTCAACAGACTCTTCGACTTTAATAATTTATAATCTGAATATGAGTTTCTAAACGTCTCTTTATATGCAAATTGCGTATAAATACCTCAGAATTTGGAATAATAACCGTTATTAAAACGAATAAATGCAGACACTCTTAAAAGCTTGGAAACAATGTTTTCGATCCTCAGATAGAAAGTAAAGTTATAGGATTATCACTTACTTCTTAGCGTATCCAAATTTCACAGTACATAATGCACAACAAATTACGAATGCACCCCACACTCTCATTGTAATAAACATTCAATTAAATCCCTAAAAATTATGTAATCAACAATTTTTTATCTAATTATTTAGCCCGTTTTGTGCAAAATGTTCAAGAATGTGAACTGAATTTCATTGGCGAATGAGAAATTTAAATCTCTTATAAATGTTAAAAGAAGGGAGAAAATTCAAGCATAACGTCATTGGTTGGATATCGTAGAACTGTTTGCTAAAGGAGTTCGTGTTGGCGTTTATCGTAAACTTTGGCCACGCCAACAGTTACAAAACCCCATTTTTCTCGCCAATATTTTTCGAAAAACTCTCGCGAGGTCTTAACCCGGCGGAAGTCGCACAAAGAAAAGTTACTAGAGTGGGCGCGTGGGGTATAACATACCCCAATATTTAAAATACGATAAAAAATAGTTTTATTTAGTTTTAAAGCTGTTTTTCTTGTTCTCGTGTATTATAAATAGGTGAATAATAATTGGGTTTCAAAAAATTAATTTCCAAAATAATCTTAGAGTTAAAATTGAGATAAAAGAAAAATAATAAAAAAATAAACATCATGCCTCTAAGTTTGATTGCATCTCTAATACACAATGCTTATTTTATTTCTTTACACTTTGAACGAAATAACTTCATGTGTCCTTGGCACAGAATGTTCCCACATTTTAAACATTGCATTCACGTTCTTCTGTCCTTGGCGCATGGGCAATTTATCCCATCTTTCACACTTAGTTGTTTCGAATTTTATATATTCGTTTTAATTCTTCGTCGAAACTTCTGCTTTTGTTTTGCATGCAGTACGTCAGTTTCTTGGTAAAGTATTAATCTTTGATCTTTGTTCAATACTTTTTTTCATTAATTGTAATGCTAAGTCCTTCAAAAAGAGACTTCTGTTTCTAGTTGGTGGATTAGCAGTTGAATATAATTCAAGCATTTATTACAGCAACATTCAATGCAGGAAAGACAATTACCTTTATCCACCTCCTGGTTATTCTGGCAATTGAATAATTGGCTGACATTTCATCCCCCATATCCTCTGCTCCTTTAGTCATATTATAAAAACGTATAATTCCTTACGTTTTATTTTCTCCAATAGTATCATCTATAGTATGATCGTTATATAATGTTGAAAGCATAAGAACAGTTTTTCCTTTTTTAGGAACATTAGGAATTAATGTTTTATCTTTTTCGAAACCAAAACAGTGTAGAAAATATTCCTAGTTTCATCTTCAGTTTCCGAAATGCAATCTTCATCGCTTTCAAATATTTCTAATAAATCTCACAGGCGTTGCATCTCCAATTCACAGAGAGTCATTCTTTTTACCATAATGCGGTTAGAAATTTTTAAGAATTTAATGTCAAGTACTTTAAAATCACTTGCGAGTAGAAATATTTACTGTTACATCCTGGAAATAAATTTCTGAACTAAATATTCAGTCAGAAAAACACTTACGCGGACAGGCGCGTGGGGTGTGTCATACCCCAGTTCCAACAAAATACCGATAAATCTTTTTCTGAAACACACAGGCAAAGAAAAAGGGGTTCTGAAAGTCAACCACAACTAGAAACTCAGTTACTGAATGCGGCACAGAATTTCAGTTCACAAGTTAGGAATATTCCACTTTTATGTAGGAGTGGGGTATGATACACCCCACGCGCTTTCCCGCGGGTTAAACACTGCGCTTTAGCAACCGGATGTAAAGGGAAGAATTTCCATAGAGCTTCCATAACAGTTAAGTAGATCCGATCTGTATTAAGTGCGTTAATTAACTTAAATTCTATATATTTGGCTAGTTTGTATGCCATCCAGTGAAAGGAGAAATCATTAGCACGCGCGTAATCCGACGGAGTCTAAGGGAAGGTTTGGTTTTATTAGATTACGGCAAAGTACTCGAAGGCTATCTGCCTTAAGGGAGGGATGCCTTTGTGGAGGACTTTCAAAGAAAAATTGGCTCGTATACACGTTACACATGGAAAACCACGAAAACGCCCATGCGGCCAGCCAGTTCGTGGGATTCGATCCTCGGACCGAACTACCAGTGTTCAGCGACGTTACCGCTCGGCCGCTGGTGAGCCGTCTAAGGGAAGGAATCGCTGAAGTTAATAAAAGAGCTTGTCTAAATACCATGTGGATTTTTTTCAAATACCATCCAAAATACTAGTCTTTCAGCACTGAATTAAGAAACATAAATATTTTTAAATGCGGAGAAATTTTGTTAAAAAGTAATTTTAATCGGATAGTTTATCCTCTGAAAATTTGCAATTTAAGTTTACAAACCAGAAGTAACAGAGTAGCATCTTTTAATGCGATAACGGTTAATGTTATTATTCGGATAATGTTACTGAATTCCCGAAGTTCCACCTTTTTTTATACGAAATACTTTACTGTGATAAACAGTATGATTAATATGATTAAACTTATTAGAGAACAAATCTTTTAAACTGAGGTAGAATTGCCAAATAAGTTGAAATAGCGTTATAAAAATTGCTAAATTACACACAAATGCCGACAATTAAGATAGAACAGGGAAATTCTTAGATATTCTTTGCTTGCGATAAGCTGCTTGAAACAGGAGTTGTTTAAAGCGAAGATTGAAGGAGATTTTTGTAAATTAAATAAAGTCCAGCATAATTTCAGCGTAATTTGGGGGAATAAACGTCTAATCTTCATCTTCTGCAATCTGTACCAGGTACATGGCTGCTTGAAATCCTGCTGTTAATTTTTCGAAGGTTGATTTCGCTTTTCACTTCCTTGTACGAAGTAAAAAGGAAGTATTGTAATCGCGAAAAGTTTCAGGCAGCATATTTCAACGAAAATATCCATTTTGACCGCTATCGAATGCAATTTAACGATGTTTTTGCGTGATATCTGTACGTAAGGACAAAATAAAAGACTTGTTTCCTCCAAAAAAAATTATAAAGCTGCTTTAAAATTAATTCTGAAGAGAATTTTTCGTGGCGTCTGTACGAACGTATGTACGTATCTCGCATAACTCAAAAACGAGTAGCCTCAGAACGTTTAAATTTTGTATATACGACTGCTATAACATGTAGATGTGCACCTCGTATTTTGGTTGCAATCGGCCGCACCAAACATATATAAAATACATTTATATATATATAATCCCTCTGTTACCCGGCTCAGTGATCTCAGTTTCTTTACTCGTATATGTTTGTAAATTGTACATTTTTTGCTTTAAAAATGATTGAATTATGTTGTTTTTATCTTCCGGTTAAGGTTTTTATGCCTTTAGTAAATCTGTACGCAATATTTTTAGAATTATCAACAATTTTAAAGTTGTCTAAGTGCCGCTAAGCCTTTTTTTTATGGCGGCCATTGATGTTTACATTTGAAACAGGAGACTAGTGGATTTGTTGCCAATCTAGAGAAACTTGGCTTCGCAACAACAAAGATAACGCATTCATTTATTATTGCCAATTAAATCATGCTTAATTCTTTCTGGAATTTTTTCGAGGAAATAAGTGTTTAAGATTTACTTCGTAATTTTTAATATAGCTATTTTGAGTTTTTATGTATTTTTGCCTTCCCGCGAAGTGAGAACTGAATTAATTGAATGAGAAATACTCAATCGTCTGTGAAAAACCTGTTTTTTTTTGTTTTGTTTTGTTTTGTTTTGTTTTGTTTGCTTAATTTCTTTTATACATCATTCTAGCTTTATTATAGTATTTGAATAGAACATGTGGCAACGATTAGATAATTCTATTCTTTAAATGATATAAATTTTGTGCATTATGAGTTATAATATAAACGAAATAAACGAGTCATCACTTTTGCGCAACACAAAAAGTGAGAATTTTAGCTGATTTTCGAGTTTTAATAAGACAAATTGTTTTGGTCATACATATATGAAATTTTCAGTGTGTCATCTCTATACACAGATGATTATCTTTCTTGATTTATTTTACTTAATAGTGCATAAGAATTTGTTTCATAAAGAAAAAATTAACTGTATTTTCCGAAAATTTAAAATTTGTACTGAAGCACTGCGCACAGACTGACAGTAATACAAATTTAGAAAAATATTAATTTTTAAGTGAATCTAGCGCCAGAGTGCCGCTATGGTAAACAAATACTAGAGTGAAATTTAAAGAATGCATTTATTCTATTGTGGTTTATGCGCTGTCGGCGAAGTAGATTTAATTCAATCCAATAAGTTTAAATGAAATGCAAGAAAAAATGCGTATAATTTAATATTCCGTACAAGGAAGTCATGTGGTGTACACATCACATTTTTTAATTTTGTCTACATGCTGAATGATGGTTCCAAGGAATTTTTGTACTTTAGCATCACGGAGCCATGAAACTGCTTCATTAAATTCTTCAGGGACTGTGCTTTTCTTTGAATGCAATTTTTCGCTGAAGAGGGTTCTGGTAGGTTTTTCTTTAGATTTTTCTGAAGTACTGAGCTGAGGGAATTCATCGGTGCTTGGAAAATACATTTTTGGTTTAGGAACTGGTTTCTTCTCAAACTTTCGTTTATATTCTGGGCAATCACGATAACTGCATACATGGGGTTGTTTTCAAAAAATGCAGGTGGGTTTTTCATCGTTTTTTAGGTTACAGGTATTGCTTCTGTGCGGGCCTCCGCATTTGCAGCATTTTTCCGGATTTGTGCATAGATAAACCAAAATATTGAAATACAGAAGCATGAAGATGAGAAAACTGTGATTGAAGATAAGATCCCACCTATAGTAATTCTCGAAGATAAGACCGACTGGATTACCCTAGTTGGAACTTTAAACAAGATTTGTAAAGACGAATTTGAAGCCCAAATGAAGTTTAGAGCCATCCACCTTTATTTTCAAAACCTAAAAGACTACAAAAATACTTTAGAAAACCTAACTAAAAATACCATAAGCTTCCATTCATATCAACTAGATGGTGAAAAGAGTATCAAAATCATTATTAACAATCTCCCCTCCTCTATTGATGGAGAAAATGTTTTCAGAAATCTCACAGAAAGAAATTATCTGGGAGTGTCCCCACTCCTGACATCTAGAACACTGTGTAGTTCTCTTTTTCGGATTCCATTTTTCGATAATAACATTAATGCTAAACATATTATTTAGATTATGAATCGCATAACCCTCGGTGTTTCTTTTCAATTCCAGAAGCCAAATAGGGATTTTTTTTTTTTTTTTTTTTTTTTTTTTTTGGTAGTTATTTCTTCTTGATCTTCTGAACTGCTTAACCTTTAATATAGGGAA